AACGTTTTTTATTTATTTTTGGGACAGAGAGAGACAGAGCATGAACAGGGGAGGGGCAGAGAGAGAGGGAGACACAGAATCGGAAACAGGCTCCAGGCTCCGAGCCATCAGCCCAGAGCCTGACGCGGGGCTCGAACTCACGGACCGCGAGATCGTGACCTGGCTGAAGCCGGACGCTTAACCGACTGCGCCACCCAGGCGCCCCTCAAAAAAGTTCTTAAATTGTCACTTTAGAGGTTCTAAGGATTGTAGAATTTGGACAAAAATACAGCTTTGTGTTCATCTTAAAAATATGTATCTGCCTTTCCATAGGACATCTTCCCTTCAAGCCAGATATGATGTCCCAGTTGGAGGCAGAAGAAAAGCTTTGGATGATGGAAAGAGAAACTCAAAGAAATGGATACTCCAGTGAGAACCATGTGGCTGTTCCTTCAGGTACCAGCTAATCTGCTTCTCACCACACCCGTGATTACCAGTCTTGTCTGGGTACTGTCATCCCTTGCCTGGACTGGGAAAGCAGCCTCCACATTGGTCTCCCTGCCTCCTCCCTTGCACTCCTGTCATCTGTTCTCAACATGGGACCTGAGTGATTCTTTAGGGAGCAAGTGGGATCACGCCGTTCCCCTGCTGAAAACCCTCCAGAGACTTCCCATTTCTCTCCGTGTCCTCACAGTGGCCTGCACGGCCCTACCTCATCTGGATGCCTCACCAGGTTCCTCTATGATCAGCCTTGCTTTTACCCTGGATTCCATCATCCCTGGTGTCCTGGCCCCCTTGGAGTGTCGTCTGCTGTTTCAGGGCCTTTGACTGGCTCCCCCTCTGCCTGGGCATAGAGTCCGCAGCGACTCCCTTACTCAGGTCTTTGCTCGAGTTTCACCTACATCAGCTAGGCCTTCTGTGTCTGCTGTTTAATGTGTCATCCTCTCCCTTCTCCATCCCCTCACCCTGCCTTATTTTGTGTCTAAGCACCGATCACCTCCTGACCTGGTAACAGTTTTATTTACTTGTGCGTCCTCTATCTCTCCAGGAAGTAGGAATTTGGGCAGTTTTATCTGCTGTGTCTGCTCAAAGCCTCGGGTGGGCCTTCTGCACAGAAGGTGATCCCATACGTGCTTGTTAAGTGAGTAAGTCAGTTACCTAGTTACTGTTCTTGTAGAAGTGAGCTACAATACCAGCCTTTCAATAGCAGCCTTTCCCGGATGGGAAGAATGCCTTGTCCATGTCCCCAGACAGGCTGATTACTTTCCCGCCCAGCCTTTTACCGCCCTCCTTTCTCCTGCCCTCTCTCTCTCCTTCACCTTTCACTTCACTCTTCGATCTCCTTTCCTTTCTCTCCCCTAGTGTCCTTTCTCTTTAATTGGCATATTTCTCAGTTCTACCCATTTAGAAGTTAAAAATTAGATATTCCTAGATCAAGTAAATTCATAGGCTCTCCCTCTGCCTGAAAATGAAACAGTAGCTTGTCTGCAAACGTGATAAGTTAGGCGATGAATTCTGCAAGCGGGTGATGGATGTACCCCTTCTTTTGTCCTTTTCCCTTCCTATGTCGTTTCATGGTTGATGCGCTCAGGGTGTTGGATACTTGCTTCCCTTCGCTGGGTCTCGTTTTCACATGCAGACTCAACCTCAGGAATGCCGACCCTAAGTATTGTCACTTCTCAGTTTTGCATAATAGACCAAGTCTGTCTTTTAACAGATCTTGTAGCATTTGCTGTCACCTTGTCTCAAAGGTTTTTTGACCTCTTTACCATCAGCACGTTTCAGGATTTTGCAGCCATGCCCCACATACAAAAACTGTGCTAAAGTGCTCTTTGCAGGTCACAAGAGGACAAATTAAAGGGCTTATTTTTGTAGATTCTTAAAAACAAAAAGCTTACAGATACTGGAGACAAGTGGGCATCGCATCCCATCTCTGTCACTCCTAGAGGTGGCTCATAGGTTTAGAGCACACTAATGTGACTAATGGATTGTTCTGGAACATCGTCTCCCAGTGAATGTCTAACATAGTTCTCATTTCTAAGATGTCTTGGAATATGTAAAGATTTATACTGAGTAAACTTAGAAGATAAAAGCTATTCCCAGTTATCAGAATGGATAACTAAACTATCAGAAATTATCAGTGCCAAGGACGCAAGGCATTTCAGTTCATCAGTTCTCAGGGAAGAGGCTCAGGTTGTCTACATATGAATGGAAGCCACCAGCTTCCCAGCTGAGCGCCTGCCCCTCTCGCTAACACCTAAATGATCACAGAACGCATATATGGTAGATGTTCAGTAGTTTCAAATTGGACATTTCCAGGCATCAGAAGACTGGTATACGTACCTGTGGACACGAGAAGGGTCCTGACAGGAAAGAAAATTACAGACTTTCTAAATTTTCCAGTGTAATTTGCATCCTAGTGATACTAACTAGCTGATAGAGCAATGTGAGAAGCCTTTTGACATGCTGTAGTGAGTCCTGATACGAAACACCCGAAGTTAGCTCCAGCGTCACAGGTTAAGGGCACAGACCTCCCACGAGACCACCCACCAAGACGTCAGACACCAGCTGGGCTCTCCAGGGCCACCCTCTTAGGACCCAGCTGGCATTCACTAAAATGACAGAACACAGGAAAGCTCTGTACTTACAATTATAACTGCATTATAACCAAAGGAATACAAAGGCAATGAATTCTGTGAGCGAGTGATGGATTTACCCCTTCTTTTGTCCTTTCCCCTTCCTACGTCGCTTCATGGTTGATGCGCTCAGGATGTTGGATACTTGCTTCCCTTCACTGGGTCTAGTTTTCACCTGCAGACTTAGCCTCAGGAGTGAGGTTCAGCCTTTTTATTTATTTATTTATTTTTTAAAAGATTTTCTTTTTTTGGTAATCTCTACACCCAACATGGAGCTTGAATTCACACCCCGAGATTGAGTCACGTGTTCAACCGATTGAGCCAGCCAGGTGCCCCGAAAAGAATGCAAATCTGAACCAGCAAAAGGCAGAGATGCATAGGGTGAGGCCCGGGACAGTTCCCTCCCACCTCCCTCTGATAATGACCCTTGTGATGACTTTGGACACATCCACATAATCCAGGATAACTTCCCCATCTCAGGATCCTTAATTTAATCAGATCTAAAGCCCTTTTGCTACGTACATGAACATACAGGTTCCAGGGATTAGGGCATGGACATCTTCACCTAACATACCTAGAAGTGTATATATACCTGTTGAGATTTTTCAGCTTATGTTATTAGAATGTAACTTTCCACTTAAGCAAATTAATGAAGGACTTTTGGTACCCAGCCCCACTCAAACATTTTAAGCCAGTGGCTTCCATACATTTTTAGCCATGACCTTCGATCAGATATTTTACATCTTTATCCAGCATAAATACAATATTTAGGTGTGTGTTTAGAACTGAAACAAGCATTTCTTTCTTTGTTCCTTTTTTTTTTTTTTTTTTTGAAACAAGCATTTCATACAGTGGTGTCCTTACTATGTGTGATTTCTGCCAGGACCTAAAATACTATTTAATGCCTATAAGCTTTTTTAATCTTTTTTTTTTTTTTAAATTTTTTTTTTTTCAACGTTTATTTATTTTTGGGACAGAGAGAGACAGAGCATGAACGGGGGAGGGGCAGAGAGAGAGGGAGACACAGAATCGGAAACAGGCTCCAGGCTCTGAGCCATCAGCCCAGAGCCTGACGCGGGGCTCGAACTCACGGACCGTGAGATCGTGACCTGGCTGAAGTCGGACGCTTAACCGACTGCGCCACCCAGGCGCCCCAAGCTTTTTTAATCTTACTGGGGAGGATGCCTCTTACCATAAGCCTACGAGGGCAAAGGTGAGTAGGCTTTTAATTGATGTTATTGGAGGATAGAATGTGGCTTGTCTTTGTTGCCCTGCAGTCATTTGATTTCAAACTTAAAGCTCTCATTTTAATCTATGAAATTTATGGTTCTAAAATGGGTTACATTTACACTTAGTGGCTAAGAGTCTGTTGACCCCATTTTTTGCTTCCACTTGCATGGAAACACATAAAAGGTTACGTGATACTGTATAGACGTGACCCTCCCCATGGTTTGTGGAGGCCTTATCGTAGGGCCTATATGTGAAATCCTGACGTTTCTGGACCTGAGCATTCCCTTGTCCTTATCTCTGAATATTGCTTTTTCTTATAGGCAGCAAGAATCAAAAGGAGATGGAGACTCTTCGAAAAGTTGCATTAAAATACCTTTCACACGAAGAACTATCCTGCTGGCAAATCTGGAAGCAAGTGGCAAGTGATTTAACCAGCTGTCTTCAGAGGAAGCGTTCCCAGTTACTCCACGGTGATTCTGTTCACGTTTCTGAAAGTGAGAATAATGGAATGAATCCTAAAGCAGGTAGCTCCAGTTACACTGCAGGTGTATCGGTTTTGAGAACTCAGGATTCTTGTGGGAATACCTACCCGCGTGAGTCACCGGAGCAGAGTAGAGGTCAGCAAGTTAATGTGAAAAATAACCTGAGTGTATGTGAGGCCTTCATGAAGCAATCACTTAGTGATTGTATTAGCACTGGCACAGAACAGAAACCCTATGAATACAATGAATGCGGCAAAAGCATTTGCGATGGTTTCAGTCGACATGTACCCCCAGGAGGGGATCTCTTTCCGTGTCGTGAGTGTGGAAAGGGTTTCAGTTATAGCTCAGTGCTTCCACTTCACAACGTTCACCCAGGAGAGAAATGCTCCAGGCGGTGTCCACACCTGCAGGCTCTTCAGAGAATTCGCCCAAGAGAGAAACACAATAAATGTCATGAACCTGGCGATTGCTTCGGTAAGAGCGCTTTTCATCCTCATCAGTCTAACCACACAGGGGAAAAGTCCTACAGATGTGACAGTTGTGGCAAGGGATTCAGTAGCAGCACAGGCCTTATCATTCATTACAGGACTCACACCGGAGAGAAACCTTACAAATGTGAAGAGTGCGGTAAGTGCTTTAGCCAGAGTTCAAATTTTCAGTGCCATCAGAGGGTCCACACTGAAGAAAAACCATACAAATGTGAAGAGTGTGGGAAGGGCTTCGGCTGGAGTGTTAATCTTCGTGTTCATCAGAGGGTCCACAGGGGTGAGAAACCCTACAAATGTGGGGAGTGTGGTAAGGGTTTCACTCAGGCTGCACACTATCACATACATCAGAGGGTCCACACTGGGGAGAAGCCTTACAAATGTGACGTCTGTGGTAAGGGCTTCAGTCACAATTCACCGCTAATATGCCATCGGAGAGTCCACACTGGAGAGAAACCATACAAATGTGAGGCGTGTGGGAAGGGCTTTACCCGTAATACAGATCTTCATATCCATTTCCGAGTTCACACAGGAGAGAAACCCTATAAGTGTAAGGAGTGTGGGAAGGGCTTCAGTCAGGCTTCTAATCTTCAAGTCCATCAGAATGTCCACACTGGGGAGAAACGATTCAGATGTGAAACGTGTGGGAAGGGCTTCAGCCAGTCATCAAAGCTTCAAACCCATCAGAGAGTCCACACCGGAGAGAAGCCATACAAATGTGATGTGTGTGGTAAGGACTTCAGTTACAGTTCAAATCTTAAACTGCACCAGGTAATTCACACTGGAGAAAAACCATATAAGTGTGAGGAGTGCGGGAAGGGCTTCAGCTGGCGATCAAATCTTCATGCTCATCAGAGAGTCCACTCTGGAGAGAAGCCCTATAAATGCGAGGAGTGTGACAAAAGCTTCAGTCAGGCCATAGACTTTCGGGTACATCAGAGAGTCCATACTGGAGAGAAACCGTACAAATGTGGTGTATGTGGTAAGGGCTTCAGTCAGTCCTCTGGTCTCCAGTCCCATCAGAGAGTCCACACTGGGGAGAAGCCATACAAATGCGATGTCTGTGGAAAGGGTTTTAGATACAGTTCACAGTTTATATACCACCAGAGAGGCCACACTGGAGAAAAACCTTACAAATGTGAGGAGTGTGGGAAAGGCTTTGGGAGGAGCTTGAACCTTCGCCATCATCAGAGGGTCCATACAGGAGAGAAACCCCATAGGTGTGAAGAGTGTGGTAAGGCCTTCAGTCTCCCCTCAAATCTGAGAGTCCATCTGAGTGTTCACATTAGGGAAAAACTATTTAAATGTGAAGAGTGTGGTAAGAGCTTCAGTCAGAGTTCGCGTCTTCAAGCCCATCAGAGAGTACACACTGGTGAGAAACCATACAAATGTGATGTATGTGGTAAGGACTTCAGTCACCCTTCACGTCTTACGTACCATCAGAAAGTCCACACTGGCAAGAATCGTTAAAACTGAAGAATGTCTTAATGGCTTCTGTCAGGATGTACGTCGTCACATATTTGGAGGGTCGTTGCTGGTGATAAACTATCAAGTATTGAGAGTGGAAAGGGATTTCTTCAGATGGAATCTTTCTAACATCCGTTAAAATGATGACGTGGAACCATAATGCCAGGAATGGAACTAATATTAAGGGGGAGGAATAGCTTGTAACCCTCTTGGCAAGATCCATCTGCTATAGTCTTTAAAAGTAAATACATGCCTAAAGATACTGTGTGAAAAGGATATTTGCCATATATATATATACTAGCTAGTTTTTTTGGCGGGGGGTGGGGGTGGTTAGGGAGGTTTCTGGATTACTTTAACTTATATTTTATATTTATTTACAGCGACCATTATTTTTACTAAAGCTGTAAAGCTGTGAAAAGTGAATAAAATTACTGACCTAAATTTCCTATAACCAAGAATTCATACTATGATTGCTTTATTTCATATGGTATATTGGATTAAAATTAAGGAATAGGTCCCCTGGGATGAAGCTTTGATCTTCAGAAGTAAATTTGTGTTTGCTATAGATGTATAAAAAAAAAAAGGTCATTGCATCATTGTTTATAATAGGAAACAATCAGTTGGATAGAGTATTTTATGATTTATTAATCCAGTAGGACACTATGCAAACATCAGATGGGAAAAGGTAAATTTGTAGTTCGGGATATTGGAAGATGTCCAGAATATATTAACCTGAAAAAAACAAGGCATGGGATTTTGTGTGATCTCATTAGAAAAGGTATAGATGAATAGGTATTTCTGGTTATCGCTAAATGATGATATTTTGTTTCATATGTATTTTTGCATTTCTTTAGATTTCTTATTTTGAAATAATATCAAACTTTCCAAAAAATGTAAGTTATATAACATCTCTTGTATTCCCTTTATTCAGATTGATGAGTTAACATGTTTGAATCATTCTCTCCTTGTATGTGAATGTGTGTATATACACACATATTGATATCTGTATGTACACATAGAACTTAAAAAAATTTTTTTAATGTTTATTTATTTTTGAGAGACAGAGTACTAGTGGGGAAGGGGCAGAGAGAGAGGGAGACATAGAATCCAAAGCAGGCTCCAGGCTCCAAGCTGTCAGCACAGAGTCCGATGCAGGGCTCGAACTCACAAACCATGAGATCATGACCTGAGTCAAAGTCAGATGCTTAACTGCTCAACCGACTGAGCCACCCAGGTGTCCCTGTACACGTAGAATTTTTAACCATGAGTATGTTACAGACCTCTTGCCCCTTGCAGCTAAATACATCAGTATATGTGCTAAGAACAAAGATATTTAATTTACTTACACAGCTACAAGTATAGTGATCAGGAAAATTTAATACTGATACATAACACTATTTAACTTACAAACCTTATTCAAATTTTATCAGTTGTCCTGATAATGTATCACATTTTTTCTGGTTTAGAATCTAGTCAAGGTTTATACATTTCATTTAAACTCCTTTAATCTGGATCACTGCCTTATTGTTTATTTTTAATGACCTTGATATTTTTGAGTGTTACACAATTTGGATTAGTGTGAGGTTTTCTCATTATTGGATTTAAATTATGCATTTTTTGGCATAAGGATTCCATAAGTGATGTGTCCTTGGTGTATCACATAAGGAAACATGGTATGTTAGTCCTATTATAGGTGATGTTAACTTGGTTAACTCGATTAAGGTAGGTAAGCTGGGTTTTTCCACTGCAAAGTTACCATTTTTACCTTTGTAATTAGTACTTTGTGGGGAGGTATATTCTGGTTCTGTAAATAGCTTGTTTTTCAACAAATTTTCGTCCGCTAGTTTTAGCATCCGTTGCTAAATGTGGCCTAAATCGACTTACTGATGGTTGCAAAAGAGTGGTTTTCTACCATCATCATTCCCTCAACATATGTTAGCCAGTATCTGTACTGTTTGCTCATTTTTTTAAAGTTTATTTACTTATTTTGAGAGAGAGTGTACGGGTGAATAGGGGTCAGAGAGAGAGGGAGAGAATCCTAAACACTAAACAGGCTTTGTGCTGTCACCATAGAACCTGATGCGGGTCTTGATCCCCTGAACTGTGAGATCATGATCTGAGCCAAAATCAAGAGTGAGACTTAACTGACATACCCCCCCCCCCCCCCCCCCCCCCCCCCCCCCCCCCGCCGCCAGTGCCCCTACTTATTTACTCTTCATAAATTTGAGCACATCCTTACTCTGGCACAATATAATGTCCCATACTTATCTTGTAGTCTCCCACCCCAGCCATGGAATCTGTTATTTCTTTAGGAGACCTTGTTCTTCACAGTGTGGAATGATATTTAGAAATTAAGGCCTGAGAAATAGATATGCCCCTCACTACTGAGGGGATGAAAATGATAGGTAGGTAGATAAGGATGTTCACAGGTAGAAAGAATGAACCATGAGTTCGAACCACCAATTCTTAATTCAACAGTATAGTGTTCTTTCTAGCCTTGCCCCATTACAAATTGCATCTTCATTCTCTAAGCATAAAAAATGTTACTCCCAGTATCATCCACATATTAACTGAAGAGAATGGACATGCACTCCCAGCTACAACTTGGTTCTGTTGTTCACAGGAAAAGAATGGAGTATTGGACAACTAAAGCTAGAAGCGACTTTTGAATGGCATAGTCTCCACCATAAGTTTTCCCAGTCTCAGGTCACCAACTCTAAACCAAGTAATATATCCTTGTTGGACCATGAAGAAAAGTATCTGATAGAAACATTAATCCAAAGATGGGCATATCCAGATGAGAACCCACCGGTTAATGATCCCTTGCAGATACTAGAACAGCGAATGTAAAGGAATAGTTCCTTTGAAGGGTGAGTTGGGGAGCAGTTCTGGCCATTGACCAGCCCTGCATTATGTCATCTACTATTCACCTCCCATTCCCCCCTATACTTAGAAGGAGCTTGACAATTTTCAGGCCATTGAGGACCACGCCCCTCCATTGCTTCTTGAAAAAACAAACAAACAAACAAAAAAAACAAGTATTTTAGGAGAAACTAATGTTAAAGAGACCAAACCAGAATGTTGGTTACAAAGCAGTATATTGTAACTAAAAAGCAGATTCTGGAACCAGACTTGTCCAGTTGAGCTGTTTGCTAGTTGAGTAAGTGCAGACAAGATGCTTAACCTCTCTGTTCTGCAGCTTGTGTGTTCAGTGTGGGTAATAGCTCTTCTGTTATGGGGATTAAAACTATAATAGTAAGAGCTGTAGGTATTTAGGTATTATCTTCGACAGATGAAATTATTACTATATATTTATATTATTAAATTCTAAGCCAGAGAATAATAAACTATAGGCTCTTGGCCAAAGCCGGCTTGTATCCTATTTTTGTATGGCCTGAGACCTTGGAATTTCACATTTGTAAAGAATTGTAAGGAGAAAGCAAAGAGTATGGACCATAAAGCCTCAAACATTTACTGTCTGGGCCTTTATAAAAAGTTTGCCATCGTCTGGTCTGAGCAAATTTCAGTTTCTCAAAAACTCTTCTGAGATACATACATAATATGTGATAATACAGAAGAGTTTTAGCTCAATCTAGCACTTCTCAAACCACAGGATTTAAAACTTTGAGCACTTTAAACCTTCAGGAAGTCTAAAAAATGCCCAAAGCAACATCAGAAAACTTTTTTTTAAATACAAGGTTCTGGCCATATATGAAGAAGCAATATGCTATTATGCTATTATTAATGTCTGATTAACCTGCAGTGCTAAGAATACACGTTATTTATTTCTCCATTTTTGCATGTAAGAAAATTTAGGCTTTAAGAGGTTATTTTCCCCAAGACAGTAGATAATAAATAGCACGACCAGAGTTTGAACTCCATTCTCACAGACTTTGAAGCTACTTTTAACTGCCATCTGCATGAATTACATTGCAGGGCCAGAACCCCTAAAATTGCTCTGTAGAGCATTCTCCCTGTCTCACCTGAATGAATCATGAATGTAAGAATGGAAAATCCATAGAAAAATACCAGGTTTATCTAGGAAGCCTTTGTTACATTTCTACCCAGGCTTTTATTTTTTTTGTTTATAGTAAATCAATAACCTAAGGGATACGTTTTATATTCTGTATTTCCTTGACTGTTTCTGACTTCACTAATGGCATTAGTTTTCTAACATTTTTCTTTGATGACTCAAGAGCCAACTCTGAAAATTAACTCAAACTGAGAAAGAACAGCCATGTTGAAAGCTTTAACTTGCCACTTGTAACCAAACTGAACACCATTTTCGGTTTTGCAGATTCTTTGTATATTCTGAGTACAAATCCTTTATGTGGTATGTGATTTGCAAAGATTTTCACCAAGTTCTCAAGTGGAAATTTTAAATATTTATGAGGTCAATTTTGAAATTGTTCTTTTATAGATCATGTTTTTGGTGTCATACAGAAGAAGTCTTTGCCTAATCCAAGGTCCCTAGGATTTTCTCCTATGTTTTCTTCCAGAAGTTTTATAAGTTAGGTTTTACATTTAGCTCTCTGATCCATTTTGATCATGTTTGATCATTCATTGTGATACTTGTACATGGTACAAAATGTAGGTTCATTTTAAAACGTGGATGCTCAGTTATTCCAACACCACTTTTGTTCAGGAGACAATCCTTTCTCCATTGAATTGGGTTTTCCGTCTTTGTCAAAAACTGATTGACCATATATGAATGGGTTTTTTCTTTTCCTGGACTCTATTCTGTCACATTGATCTTTGTGTTTATTCTTGTATCAATACAACTTGTTCCCAATTACTCTAGCTTTATAATAAGCCTGTCAATCAAGTAGAGAAGCTTTGCTTTTTCAAATTTTCTTTAGTTATTCTAGCTCTTTTGCTTTGAGTTGTAGAAGTATCTTGTTGATTTCTTTAAAAAAGTATTTGCTGGGACTTTCAAGGGAAGTGTGTTGGAATATTGCACATCTTAAATCTTCCAGTCTGTGGATGTGGCATAGCTCTATTTG